CCAAAATACAGATGATCGTTACCCAGAAGGATTAATTAAAAACACTTATGACCTGACCTATTTGTATTATTGAGGATTACAATTTGTAATTCATCGCCAGTAATTGATACTTTCAAACAAACTGTAAGAAAATGCATTGGAATTTAATGCAAAAATAATCCGATAAATAGGATTCATCTACAGTGCTAATTGTATTTTCTTTTGACTTCCTTTCGCTTTTGGTAAACTACTCGAAGAGTTGCCTAACGAAGTCTTTAGAGTAAGCAAATAAATTATTGCACAGAGAGTTTGCAGAATTTGTGAGAACGATACATTGTTTACGAATGGAAAGAAGAAGTCTTTGCTGGAATTTATAGCAAAAATTCATTTCAGTTTTTTTGTTCTCAGTTTGTGTCACTTTGATTTTTAGAGGCAAGAAACTAGCACTGAAGAAGAAAGAGAATGAATGAATGACTTCTGGGCTGTATTCAGCTTTCTTATAAAGACGTCAAATACCATAAAAAAGCTTTGTTATTCATATAAAACGTTATAAAAACTGTTGAAAACTGCTATATAAGGCTATTCAATGTGATTCAAGCACTGAGCAAAGGATTAAGTAATTTCACGTATTTCGTTACTAGGTACGTGCCTTTTATTTCCATTACAACAGTCCTATGGATTAAAAAATTTATCGAATTATGCAAACTCATTGTCTTTACAAACAATTTATCAAAAAATGAAACAAATTGAAAATTTTTCAGGTGAAAGGTTGCAAATAAATATAATTTATCTTTAATTAATTATGAGGGAAAACAGTTTTTTAACCACTTAATCTTCTGCTGATAATATTTTTAAATCCAAATTTATTGTGGCAAAATTTTTTAAGCACAAATAATAATTGAGGAAACGAATATTTGTGAAAAATTTGCAAAAATTATCCTGAAAATTCAAAAAAAGCCTACTTTCTTTGCGTTCATCGCTGATCTCTTTTGCACTCAGTCGCTCGAAAATACTGTATAAGATGATTCAAATCACTAACTTAGCACTACTCTTATTATTATTTTTACCCTTATTATTATTTTACCCTTAGAAGATAAGTTCATAAAGAAAAAAACTATCCAATTTTTAGATCGAAAAAATCATCACTACCGGGAAATTCTGTAGTAAGAAATACGATAAGCCAAAGGCAAAATGCAAAGTCATTTCTTGATAATATTTTTAAAGTCTTTTGAACACCTGCACAAATGCAGTGTTGCAATCAGAAGTTCGTTCTGTGGCTTATCAGCGCTCTTTCCATACCAGAATCGATAATTTATCATTAAGTTGAAATTAATAAGTAATTTCAATAAGTCAGGAAATTAATAAAGTTTGCAAAAAGTAATATTCAGTTCAACCCTTATATTTCTATTAACAAAATTTAATATTTATCATCGGAATATTTTCACTTGCCTTAATTTTTATGAGCTTAAATTCTAGAATTCTCTTTTATTATTTTTAGAATTGCTCAAGCCTTCCAATTCCACAAATCACACATATCATCAATGTATTTTGAATCACTTTGCTCAATTATAAAATGATTCAGAATACACTGGTGATAAGTTCGCTTAGCAATTTTTGATAACTTTTTGTTGTATTTAGGCACATGTAAATTCAATCCTTGCATCTTTTATATTATTTAATTTATTATTTTCAAACTTTAGAAAAATATAATATATTTTATTCACAGTCAATTTGATGAGCATATATTACAGATCAATCTGATAAAGTTACAAGAAATTTGAAGATTTCTTTTGTTTGCACTAACGATTTAATTTTGTGGCACTAATTAAGCTTTTACTCTACTTAAAAGTTAAATTAATTACTTTCCCAGTCGACATTGCTAGCTTTATGAGACTTTTTACGCTTCAAATCATGCAGCAGCTTGATTTTAAAAACGGATGAACTGAGCGAGTTTAAAAATTTCTGTTCTGATTCGATTCTTAAAACCATTACAAGTATATGCTTGCGTATGCTTTTGTTTTCAAATTCGAAATTAAAATTATTGGAAATGACTTAATTGGAATGGTACTTAAAAATAGAAAAAATTTATGATGACGAGATTTAGTCATAGAAATGCAACTGAGAATCTGTGAATGAAAAAAAATTTTTTTGATGCAAAATAAATTTTCTTCATTTGTTCACTAAATTTCATTAAACAAATCTGTTTGCTTTGGTTTCAAATTGTATTTGCATATTTGCATAGTTTATTTTTACATGCAATTTTCTTTTCTTTATTAATGACAAAATCGTAATTTGCTTTTTTTCTTCAGAATTCACTAAGCACATATCAAAATATTTTAGTCAATATTCCCGTTATTTGCTCACTTTTCACTACTAAAATAATAAGAATCAGAAATTTTTAACATAAAAAATAAGCATTGTATAGAATCACTTTTGCATGTGCTCCCTCACCACAGAATCAACTAGAATCGTTATCAAATTACTTACTTTCTGCTTAAAGAGTTATTCACAGTGAATAGAATTCTGTTTATTTTGCATGACAGCACATTAATCGCAAATTACTGTCTCATTCAATTACACTTACTGCTTACTAAGACTGTCTTAAAAGTTAAATTTGCGATCTCATAGTGGAAATTAGAAAAATTCTAGCAAAGAGTTATGTATGCATTGAAAAGAATATACCATTTGAAATACGAAAGTAAAACATAAGTAAGTGTACTGCAGTGACACTGCGAAAAATAGCAAATGATTTATTTATTGTTGTACGAAAATTTGCGATAGTTTGCTGTAAAAGTGAAAGTGGAAAATAATTGAAAACTTATTTTATCATTTGATTGAGCATTTATTAAGTAAGTAATGTTGAATAGAAAAGTTCAGAATAAAATAGAAAGCAAAATTTATTCTTAATTTTTGTATATTTACCAATTTATGTTTACAATAACTGTTCACAAAAAAAACCAGTTCAAAGGGTAAAAAGTACGTTTACTTTTGTTTTTAATGAATTGAACTCCTTAAGTAATTCAATTAATAATGAATAGTTTATTTCTATCAGAAAATGTCAACAATGACTTGTGATTAATCCAATTTCCACTAAATCAATAGTTATTTATTTTTAACTTTAATTTTAAAAATTACAAATATAAATTTGAACTGAAGTAAAAAATAAGACGTATTCAAAAGTTGCATAGTCAAATAAACTTTAACTAGCCTGAATTATCTAACTACGACACATCTTTCAGAATATGTCATAACGTTTATTTTTGCAGTTTCTATCACAGACATTTAGACTAAAACTGACAGCTGCTATACTCGGAAACTAATCTGATTAGCATAATTTAATGCACAGAAGAATTTATTAAAAGCTACTGTGAATGACTGCAACGTTATCGTTTTCATATAAATGCAAGAAGACTGATTAGATTCTTTGCTGCTGCACACAATGACTGTCACGATCGGCAAAATCGAAAATACTACTAAGTAAGCACTTAAATGTTTTTAATTTGTTCACTTTTACATCTTTCACCTAGTGACTTTTGACTTTAGTCTAAAGACAAAAAAAAATTAGAGTGAAATAAAATCATTAAAATACAGTTTAGATAATTAATTATTACCAACATTTTGACTGTAATTGAAATTAGCATATAATTAATTAGACTCCTTCAATCAAAAT